AATTCAACCATTTTACCAAGATGCTAGTGCCATTTTGACCATTCTTACTTGTTCCAGTAAAATAACAAAGACAAGTATTACAAGTCAAATTTCTGAATAATTATAGGAAACTAGAATTTTGTGATGAAAATATATGTTACTTAATGCTTATGAATCAGGGCTGTTGTAAATAAAAGCCCCACTTAGGGCAAAGCCTGAATATATAAGCCAGTATACATTAATACACATATTTAGCATGCAACATGATTTTTTTGGTACCGGTACACTCTGAAGGTTGCAGCCAGTGTTGGATGGCGCACTCACTATCTATTACCGCCCAACTTCCAAGCTGCCCAACCTCCACGATGCCCAAAAAAAAAATAAAAAATTAGGTTCCATAAGAAATTGTGATCTTAAATTTGTTAACAATTTTCCCATAAGTTCTGTTTAGTGTATTCTAGTTCCACCTAATTACATTCACCCTTGTCCCTCAGGCTGTATAAAATCTCAGTCAGTGCTGTGATGTTGAAATAATATTGGTCTATTTGCCTCCCTTTCAACCGCTAGACTCGTACATGCAAACTGACCACAAGCCGGCTTTAGGCAATAACTGAAATATTTTACTTAGACTCAAATATTTACAAATTTACATGATTTTCTTTTTCATTTTTAAATACAGAATTAGGGGAGGTTAACTTGCACTGGTTTGAAGATCTCACAGAAGCTCCTCAAGCTGAACCTCACCATGATACCTTGAATAACCCTTTATCACCAAATTATAAAGTAGGCTGGTCCCCATTTCCTAAAGGAGGCATGTATACTCAAGGTTTGTTTCCAAAGTACATACGGTGTAAGAAATTTTTATTTAAAAAAAAATAAATTATGACCCGAAAAATAACTTATCTACTATTGGTTTATAGTATTTTCTTCTTTTAAAAAATTGTAATATTTATAAAAGGATTCTCAAGCTTTATTCTTCTTCTTAATTTTAGTTGAATAGATGTCCAAAAAATATAATGTCAAAAAAAATTATATAAAAGAGAGACAAAAATGCATCATTTTATACCAATATACCAATAAACCTATATCAGTGTTGTTCAATCTTTTGGACACTGTGGTCCAAAATTATTTTTTCACAAAGCCGAGGGCAGCACATGACATATCAAAAGAAAATTTGTGTAAACAATTTTTTTAGAAAACTATTCACATTATTAATACTTCTTACCTTTTGCATAAAGAATCATATATCCAATATCATTATCAGCCAAGCAACAATATTAATAAAGTGAATATTTTCACCCTTAAATGTTTTATTTTTTGCACACATCATAAAAATGTCTAAATCTCTGGCGGGCCATTTAAAATCAATTCACGGGCCACATGAGGCCCGCAGCGTGGACAGCACTGACCTCTAAAGATTAAACAAATATTAGACATTTATTGATCAGGCCAATGAAATGTATTTTAATATGGGACTTTGTTTAAAGATTTAGAATATAATTCAGAATTGTGAAAAATATATGTTGATTTCTCCAGTGGGGATGGCCTTTGGTAAGAATGATGTTCCAGCTACTCCACAACTGACATCATGCAGTCCTCTGAGTTCAGGTCTCAACAGGTAACATTTTTGTGGAATAAGTTCTTTGCTTTCATACCCTGTCCCTATATATTAATTTTTTCAGACATTTCCATGCAAAATGATATAATTTTTTTACGATAATCCTATTTTATAATATTAATAAATGCACTATTAAATCAACAGCACTAAAACAGGGATTGGTCCAGCATGTGATTATTTATGTGCCAGTCAAATGGAGATAAATTGGACCAATGCCATGGCAACACCCTCATGGTCTCAGTCAGCCCATGGTCAGAATATAGATGGTTTAGAAGGTAAGGGCAATAAGACAACATATCTAGTATTTATGATCTGTATTCCACAACTTTTTGAGAAAAAAGGAGTGTTATAAAACTCACTTAAGCAAATGTAATACCAGATTCACAGGAATTAGAATTGCAAAACGTCACACAACTGGTCAGGCGTATTTCAGTCTCATTTGTCAGACGTTTTTCAGTCTCAGTTGTATTTCAGTCATCATGCGTGTTCCAGTCTCAGTTGTCAGATTTATTTCAGTCTCAGTCATCAGTTGTATTTTAGTCTCAGTCGTCAAGATTATGTGATTCAATTCAGTATAAAGATACCCCCTTCGCTCACATATCTACACAAAAACATGCCATGACACATCGAAAACAGCATATAATCTGGCTGTCACAGTATTGATTTATCCCTTTCTTTTGTCTGTGTATTGAAAAATAAATTTATGGTAAAAAAATGATTAATCATATATTGTAATTATAAGATTGTGCCTAACTTTGGTTTACAAATAAAAATTAAATTTTGTTGTTTCATCTACAGAAATGGAAGCATCCATTGGTGCAGATATATATAAGGCAAAACCTAAGGTTTGAAATTTGTTCATTATTTCATTGACATTATTTGCTTGTAATACTTTTGATGAATTTTATCAATGCCAATGGGAAATTTAATGGAACATTTTCTCATTGATTGTATGCATTTATATAACAGAAAAATACATGTTAATATTCATGCTTTTTTGAAGCCATTATGTTGCACACTGATTGACGCTGTCATTAAATTATTATAACTTATTTAGTATATGCTGTATGTTCTTGATCGTCTGGGAAAATGAAAGGGATCCTGTGCTCAATAAAATAACATGTTGAACATCTTAAATTGATTACATCGTTTATACCTCTATCAAGTGTATTACTTACTCAAAGTAAAAAAAAAGCAATGTTTAAGTACTAGCCAACAAAACTTAGATGCCACGACACACATGAAACACCGTAATCATGTATTCCAACTAAGAAACTAAACCCAGCAGATACAGAATATGAAATACGTTTAAGTAAATACAAGATAATCCATAACCAGACAATCAATGGTACACTTTGAATAAGTAGTGTAGTAGACAATCAATGGTACACTTTCAATAAGTAGATTGTCTTATCACATTTCCTTCTTGAACATTTCCAGGGAATTCACCGGCAACTGTTTTCCCCATGCCAGATGTGTGATGATAGTGAGTCTGCTGATGATTGGGGTGACGGGAACTTGACTGTTGAAACTGAGAACACAGGGAATATGACCATTGAAAGTGTGAACACAACAATCACTGAGGGGTTAGATTTTAATCAAGACACCACTCTGTGCACTGATGCTCTGCGTCAAAGCTGTGGTGATATACACAGTCATGACAAATCGGCTTCGCTTGAAGTTTACAGGGATCTCAATGTTCATGGTGATGTGCACGTAATTATGAATGAAAAAGAGGTTACTGATAATTTGATAATGGATTTAAATTGTTCAGACAAAACTCAAGGGTCTATTTCTTTGGAAAAAAGGCACAAACGTGAAACAAATGAATGCAACTTCTCTGTGGCTGATGAAAAAAGTGATACAGTTGTTGTACCAGAGAGTAAGGAACATGTTTGTAGTGAAAGCACCACGTCAAATAGTTCCTTCTCAGTAAATCATATTGAACACATCCTTTCCAAAATATTTGTTAGTCAAGAATTTGACAACTGTGAAAATAAAATGACTAACAAGGCTGTGATCAATCATGAAAATTTATCTGAAATACATGCAAATGAATTTATTGAGATTAACGGGGATGAGATGAAAGAGAAAAATATTCAGGCATTACTCGTGTTGGATTCACAAAATCTTGTCACAGGCTGTGGTAGGGCCAAGAGACAAGAAGAAGGGCACATTACTCCACAGGCCAAGAGAATAAAATTCTCTGATCAAGTCAGTGATACAATATCAGAAGATTCACAACAGATTTTCACAACCAATTTTTCACCATGGGAGTGCACTTACACCACAGGCCTACAAACAGAAAAAGGTTCTGAGAATTGTTGCAGAATAGTTAGTCCAGCAAAGGAAAAACAGATTCTTGAATCTTCAACTAAAAATTGTGCTACCCCTTCCATTTTGAAAAAACCATCTACACCACAGATGACTTCCTGCAAAAAGAAAGTTCGTTTTAATCTTGACATTAGAAATCAACCCCTTGATGAAAAATATGGATTAAAGCAGGAAGTGTTACAAATTAAAAATGTGATAGAAATGTCCCCAGTTAAAGATGATGACAGAAAAAATACTGTGACCTCTGTACAAGGATCCAAAGATGTTGGAAATGAGGGAATTGATGACGATGACGAACTCTATTGCTATTTTGATAACTCATTCAGTTCCTCACCAACATTTTCAAGTCCAGTATTATCAATAACTACCAACGACAGAAACTGTGATTTCAGTCAAGCAAACTGTGATATCATCAAAGATGATTTCTGTCCTGCAAACTGTGATGTCATGAAAAATGATTGTCTAAACGCTAATAAAGAAACAATCAAGCTTACTTTAAAAGAAGATTTAATTATTACCAATGGTTTTGCAGCACAGAATGAAAAAGGGATAGGTAGCTTTGTTGTTATGAAATGCCCACCCCACCAACCTGCTAATAACTCAATATCTAACAACATTGTCAGTGCTGGTGGTGAGTGCCAGGCAGTTGCTGGTGATTTCATATTAGATGATGAAGATGATGCCTCCGTTTGTGCTGCTGTGGATCTAGTGGAAAAGAAGATGGTAACGGACACAAATCCCAAGCTTTCCATTGCAGGAGGAACAAATTCAGAGCTGAAAGATTTTTCTGGGGATAATGAAAAGTTGGGATGTGATTTAAATTCCTTATTTGAAATGACATCAAGAAATGTAGAAAGCTCCACAAAATCCCTGAATTCCTTATCATTTGAATTACAGGTACAACACCAAAAAAGTTCACCAAAAAAGCCCTCAGCACACATTTCACCAGCCATAGAGACAACAGCTGATCCCCCTTCAAAAAAGCAAGAGAGAGCAAGAAGCCTCATTTCACGAAAGCCTAAGAAATTCTTTTACCCAACAGCCGATCAAATTGCCAGTGTTTGTCCTGAGACAAGAGATCTTAGTCTCCAACTCATAGAAACATCTATTCCAGATTCAACAGTGCTTTCTATGGTAACAGAAGACAGAGACCCAGGGGAGACTGCAATAAAAAAAGACTGCCTGGACTTGTCTTTTAGTTGTAACAGTGGAAATGAAAATTTGCTTAAAAAGAATCAGCCTAAAACATTGCCCAAGTTACTGGGTATGTACCTACACTTTAATATTGTTTTCTTTATCTTTAAAATGAAATCGTCATAGAAATTTTTGAACCAACCTCCCTTTGTGTTTAACTAAGAGAGCTGTACATAATTGGTTTGATTATTGCCTTATGCTTAGAAATCTAGAATGCATGATTTGTTTTGTTTGTCAAAGATTCAAAGGTTTGCATTTAGTAATTAGCAGTCAATTGCTAGAATTGTTTGCTGTTCAACATCCTGCTTTAGGGTTCTTCATTTGGGATTTATCTCAAAACTTTTGACTTTTTCCCCATGTCACACCCAAAGAGTGGGATGTGTGCTGGTTAGTTTACCCTCTGAAAAACTTGTAAGGCTGTCTGGGAACTGATTTTGTTTCTTGACCATTGCATTGTTCAACTTTTGAACCTATGTATCAGGGCTGGCGCTAGGAGGGTTTAGGGCCTTGTGAAAATAGAAATTTGCGGGGCCTCTGACATTACGAATCATGGCCGATGGGATGATAAGACACGTCAAAGTTAAAGGTTCTTACTGGTCATAATTTTAGGAAAAGTCACGCCCGGCATCAATATTTATTGACTTATTTGATTTATCAAAATATACAATTTTTAATTTTTTTTTGGTTAACTGTAGCAGTTGAATTGCCCTGAGCCAAATTGCTCATTAAATCTCTTTTTGATAATCTCATAATTTTTTAAAACAAATGCAGAAAAGCACAAAACTGAATGAGCTGTAGGCTCTCAAAAAAATAAGATTAATTTTCAGGCGGTAATTGGGCAGCTTATTAAACAGAAAAAATTGAACCGTCTTATGGTATTGGCGATAGATCAAATCGAGATAGATTAAAATTGATAAATGACGAAATTTCGTTGGTCATTAATATAGTTCTGGAACCATGAGAGAAATAAAGTTATGCTGGGATTTGGCAATTCCCTTCTTACATCCACAATCTGTATTAAATTATGGGATAATCCTTTTTGAGAGAGATAGAGATACAATAATTTATTGTGACACTACAGGATTGCAAAAACAAAAGAAAAAAACAGCGAGAAACGAAAAGTAAAATGGTCGAATTTGCGTTTGTGAAGATACGAATTAAGTTGCATAGTCCAGGTCTTCATGTCATTGACCTTGGCGGAATAGTAGGGGAAACTGACAGACTGAACATTTGATTATTTTTTTAACGCCGAATGTTGTTGAATGAAAATTACAAACTATGAGTAGGCACATCCTGGTTTTATTTATAATGTATAATATTATAAGGGCTTGGTGCGAGGCCCCCACAAGCGCAGGGCCCACGGGTAGTAGCCCCTTTTGCCCAACTCCCTAGCCCCAGCCCTGCTTACATGTTCGTACATCTTAGTTTTTAATCAATTTTATTGCATATTTATTACAGGTTTTGCCAAGTTTTCAGATTTGTGTCGGGAGAATTCTAAGACTTCTAGTTCAACAGCTGATACAGCACCATTGCCGATGCCTGTAAATCAAAGTTGTAAATCTGGTCAGCAAACCTATGACAGTCGAAACATTTCATCATTTAAAAAACCAGACCTAAACTTCATATCAGAAATTGTTCCCCCCACCTCACAGCTACCGTGGCAAGAGAACTCAGTACATTTAAATAACACATCATGCCACCAGACTATCTCCTCGTGCAGTTCAATAAATAACTGTGTGGTCCCCTCTGATCACATATCATATGATGAATCCCACAGACACATTGATTCAGACAGCTCTTTGAGAGAAGAAAACGCTTGTTTTTCAACACAGATGTGGGAAGCCAGTGAGTTCTCTCAGATGTCTTCCGAAACAGTGTTGAAATCTCCAGACTGTGATGGTAGTAACATTCAGGCTCGGGATGGTGTAACGGTTAAAAGAAAAGATGAAGCGGATCAGATGATGTTCCCAAATTTAAATACCATGGAGGAATCATCGCGAGATATAGCTTTAGAGGAAAGACACAGAGACCTTCTATGTGATATGGCTTTAGAGGAGAGACACAGTGACTCTCCATGTGATATGGCCGTAGAGGAGGGACATGGAAACATGCCATGTGAATCTGCAACTGTTCATCCAAATATTGAACCTTTTACTGGTTTTAAAACTGCATCAGCCCAGCTGAATAATTCACTGCACAGAATGGCCATGCCAAAGCCTAAATCATCTGTGGAAACAGACAATGTTGCAGTAGGCAGTGACATGGAAAATGATTTAGATGATCAGCTTGAGAAACTCTTAGCTGCAGTGAAGAATAAGAGGGAAAATAAGTTGAATTTCAAATCTGCTTGTGGAGCGCAAAGACCCAAACCTGATGAAGGTGTCTGTGGAAACTTCATTAAAGTTAGGGACTGTAAAAAACCTCCTGGCGTGGTGTCTCCTGTCACTAGAACTTGTAACAAACTCAATACTTTGGATAGCATCATTATGGAAATACAAGCCAACTCAGAATGTCAGATACCAAGTAAAACTCAGTTGGTTATGGCCAGAGAAAAGTTTGACGAACCACTATTGAGAGATGCTACTGATGTTAGCAATGACTTGAATCAATTGAATAGTGTTAAGCTGCCAGACAAAATAGATAGAGAAATAATTGATGAAGATGAAAATAGCCACAATGCAAATCCTCAAGTTCCCAAGGAACCGTTGCCAGTCGAGATTAGGTTGGACTTAACCGCATCCAAAGTCCAGATCTTAACTAGTTCTGAGTGTGTCTTTGACGCAAACCCCACTGGCTTGTCCCCTGCTCTCGGTGGATTCCCCTCTGCTCTTGGTGGCTTCTCCACTGCTGCTGGTAAACAAATACAACTTTGTCCATCTGCTCACCAAAAAGCTCAGAAACTGTGGGAGTCTGTGTCTAAAGATGTGGGAAATGTTGACTCTGTAGATGGTAACAATGGGAAGAAAGACACACAAGGAATTCAGACTGACTCAGGTACTAAAAGGGCATTGGTATCCCAAACAAAAGTTAGTGGTGTTAATCATGCTTCAGGAACTCTTAAAATAGACAAGAGCTACAAGGGCTTCCGACCTTTCAAACCACCAAAAGTCTTAAAGAAAGCTAACATTTCAAGTTTTGTGGAGGAACCCACACCACTAAACAGTAGTAATCAGGTAGATACTTCATGTGTAAGAAAAGATGAGAGCATGATCCAAGGAGGTGGGAAAGATATGGGTTTGAACAAGGATAAAACATACCTACTTGTGCAACAAGAGTATCACTGTAAGGTAACACAGCTACCTATAGATAGAAGAAAAGGGCCGGTCCAAACAAATGGCCATACAGTTAAACATGATTTATCGAAACCTTATGTTGAAAATAATGGCTCTCCTGTGGCAGCCATCTCAAGTCTTTCTGACACCATATTGACCAATAAATTTTTTGACAAAGGATTACCTGCTCCTCAAATAGACAATAACCAACAATTATTCTCCCAGGGCCTTGAAGTTAATTTGTGGCTAAATATAGACACTGGAAATTGTTCTAAACTAACCAGTTCAGTAGCAAATGAATCTTTAAATGAAACAAAACCTTTTCATATAAACAATAGAAATAGGGAATCTCCTGTTCATATTTTAAGTAAGTCAGAATTTTTACAGAAACATACAATTCCATCCGAGGGCGTTCTCATACATCAAGGCAAGACTAGCAATGTTGTGGCATCTGTTGGTGAATCAGACCACTTGGCACCTGGCCTAAGTCAGCCCATCACCACCAGACCTGACTGTCAGCTATGTGAGTTAACTGTTACAACAGATGCAGAGAGAAGGTGGATCATATCAGAGAGTGATCTTCAACATTCAAATAATATTTTGGAGGATAAAGAGAATTTACCGAGACAAAACATAACAAACTGCGATGGCTCCCCTAAACCAGTTGTAAATAATTTGAAACAAGTTAACAGTCCACAACAAATGAGTCCACATGCTTCAAATCCTCCACATACAGCACTGAGGGGTTTTTCAACAGCAGCAGGGGCTGTAGTTTGTGTTTCAGATAAAGCTTTGAAACATACCAGAAGTTTCTTTGAAGACAATATAACAGATAGTTCAACACCATCTCATCATCTACCATTACAATCAATGGGTTTCTCAACAGCAGCAGGAACACCAGTTTCTGTATCTGGTAAAGCTTTGAAACATGCCAGAACTTCCCTAGATGACATTATCAATAGTGACACATCAATAACGTATGATATTTCGAGATTAAAACCAATAGGTTTTTCTGAAGAAGCATTGAAACATGCCAGAATTTCCTTTGAAGAAAAAAAAAATGATTGCTTATCAAGTTTTAACCATACGCAAATAAAATCAAGGGGGTTCTCGACTGCAGTAGGGACAACGATTTCTGTATCTGATGAAGCCTTGAAACATGCCAGAAAGTCCCTAGAGGACATCAATAGTAACAGCTCACCATCCTGTGATATTCCGAAATTAAAACCTATAGGTTTTTCAACAGCAGCAGGGACACCAGTTTCTGTATCTGATAAATCTTTACAACATGCAAGGAGTTTCCTTGAAGACAATATAATTGAGAGTTCAGCATCATCAGCAGCAGCAGGGACACCGGTTTCTGTATCTGATACAGCTTTGAAACGTGCCATAAATTCCTTTGAAAATAATAAAATTGATAGCTTCACCTCTAACTGCCCCCCTATGCAATTCATGGGTTTCTCCACAGCAGCAGGGATGCAAGTTTCTGTATCAGATAAAGCTTTAAAACATGCTCAGACATTTCTTGGAGAGGCAGAAGCCAATAACAATCAACTTGATCCAAACAAACAAGGATTTTCCCTGTCTTCAGACTCGGATGTTTCAGAAAGCCTTCAGTTGGATGAGATTGCTCAATCAAAAATGACTTCACAGGTACAGTGTTGTACTGATGCATACCATAAGCTCAAACTCCTGGAAGGACTTACCACACCTTACAGTTTACCAGCTGCCATGCACCAAGCTGTTACAACACCTGGCACTACAAGGAGTTCATCAAACATCCTAAAACAGTCTCAAAATTTGCTCACTAATCTTAATGAAAGTAGTCCAGTCCTTGCTAGACCAATAAATGACAGAATACCAGCAGGTAGGTCAGCCACAGCACCATTACTTTTTCTTAGTCTAAGGATATTGTACTGTATATAAAATGATACAGATTGCAATTGCAAACATACACATATTTTTCTGTACTGTAAATAATAGTAAATGGCTTCAAGATGTACCGAGCATATGAATGGATATGCAATTTATAAGTACAGCACATTAATTCTCCTTTTTTTTTTTTGCTTGTGTCGAGCGTATTCAAATTGTTTTACCATATTGCAGCATATAAAAATTTAAAAACAATTAGAATACAACACAAATATAAAAATGCTACAAAAATGTATGTGTTTAAATTTAATTAACTGGATTTCTTTGGTTTTCTGTCAATGAAGGCAATAGATCTAAGCTGAATAAAGAATTTCACATTCCTCTGATGTCCGATTGTGAAGGTAACCAAATATATTTCTTTAAAAAAAATCTTAAATTTTTCTTGTGTTTTGGAACGCAATTTGAATTTATTTTTTCAAACGAATAGGGTTAATGATAGTAAATCATTAGCACTTAAAGAATAAAATATTTGAATTTTACTCAGTTATAAATAATTTTTGTAATTTAATATTTTCAGAATTTCATTTGGACAGAAAGAGAGGCAGAAAAAGATTGAAACCCGTAATGGTTAATGAACAAAAGTTAGTACTAATTTATGGAAAATAGATATACTGTTATTTGAAAGTTTGGTTTGCTATATAACCTCATAAGTTAACCATTGAAAATACAACAAAGTGTTGAAAATATGAAATAGCTAAGTTACTTCACAAGAAAGATAATCAAATAAGTAAGGGCAATCATCAAGGTTAGTTGGTTTATTTGTTTGAGAACAGTATGGAGTACAACTAGACAGCATAAAAACGTGACGTCACTACACAACAAAGTGGCGTGCAAAACAATGGGTAATCAACGTTTAGTATTTTGTCATTTTCCAAAACAGAGAACCCTCCGACTTAAAAATATGTGAATTAAATTTATAACTTTCAGCACTTACAGTTTAACATATATAAACCTAATCAGAAAGTTGCTATCTTTACTGTTGTTGGCTTTTTCTGTCACTATTCTGCAAGAAGACTTCCTAACATATGACATGCACATACCCGTGTGGAAAGGTTAAATTTCTTAGTATGACCCACAAACCTCATTTTAATCTAAAATACATCTGGCATTCATACTCTTTACCATGCAGCCGACCAGTGGACAGAAATGATTCCTACATAATATTCATTTTCTTATTTATTTCAGCGACTCACCACCTCCTGTAAGTTGCAATCCTGGAGGCTCTTTTAAACCCCCTTTTAAAAAACCCAGGCTCTCTGATCAGGACCTTTCATCAACAGATTCTTATCAAATAAGCAATGAAAAGAAATCTGCCAAAAACGCATTCATGCCTCCATGTGCCAAAGTTCCTGTTGACAAGACTTTAGATGGTCACATGATACCAGTATCCCAATCCAAAAAAGAAAGGTCAGTTCATCAATTGGGCACATCTGACTTAGCATTGGATTTGGATGATGATGAAGAGAACCTAATGCTGTGCCAAGATTTTGATGCTCACTCCACACAATCTAGAATAGAAACAAAAAACACCTGTGAAGATTCCATTCCAACACACAGACAGGAGAGCAGGAATTCTAAAAATATCTCAAATGCAATAACAAACATTTCTGTATCAGCTTTGAATGAGCAAAGCTTATTGGCTGAAGTGAAGAGACAGGAACGTATAATAGTTGAAAAGAAAAATCTGAGAATCCGTCCACAGTGTGGTAGGTGGATGGCAGCTCGCAAAGAAAAAGGAGCTTTGAAAAACTTTCAGAGTTTTACCTTGGAACTTAGGACTGATCTCACAAAATCGGAGGTATGAAGTAGGAATTATTGATTTCCCTCATATTTGTGTTTTTTTGACTGATCTCAAACAGTCTCAAAATTAGTATTTCATTTGAAATTATTGAGAAATGTCAACAAGAATGATCTATGTATAGAGGGCAGTGTTGGTAAAACTAAGTATAACAATTTAAAAATCTTTACAGCTCCTGTCTCTTGGTGTATCAGGAAGCACTCTGAAGATTAACAGTCTTAACTCTAAAGAATTCCGTTTTGACCTCAGACGATTCTACCCAGCTCTAGATTGCAGTATTTTGGTGGGGGATGGAGCGCTGCTAGTCTGTGACAGATATGGCTGTGTTGGTACTCATGAGTTTTTTAGGTAGCTCATTTTTGTGTGTATGTTACTGCTTACCAATGGTAAACAATCAGTTACACTATGCTTGCTTGTTTGGTGGCCGAAATTGTTTTATCCAGCACTTGAATTCTCTTAGTTAATTCTCTCTATTTGCAGCAATAAAATATTCTGATTCCTGAATTTTCTTAACTTATGTTTTTCTAGCTGTGTTTGCAACAAAATTATTGGCTGGCTGCTAAATTTTTTTAAAGCTTTGTCTCGCCTTTTTACTTAAATCTAACTTTCTTTCCATGCAATAAGTTTTACTTCTTGAATAATTCTTAAAATGCTATTTCAGAGCTTTCCTTACCCTGGACAGTGTGGACCCATCCCTAGTTGATGAGCTGTGGCTAGAGAACCACTACAGGTGGATAGTCTGGAAGTTGGCTGCCTATGAAGTTTGTTTCCCCCATCATTTTGCTGGCAGGTAACAGCCCATGCATGTAACATAGTTGAATAATGCACACATGATTTTCTTAATAGTTTTACTTAAGAGAATAAATACAACTGTACAAATATGAACAAGTAATTTTTTTCATCAATGATATTTTCATTCTGTGCCAGGAGTCTGACACCAGAAAATGTTATGTTGCAACTTAAGTACAGATATGATAGAGAGATAGATGCTTGCCAAAGGTGAGTTAATATTTTATGGTAATGACGTGTGTTATATCACAAATTAATAGTTTTGAAGGAGTTTTAAACATCTTAGATTTTCTATCTAAAATTTTAAATAAAAACACAACTTAAGTTCTCATATGATATTTCGAAGTGTAATTTTAATCCTTTAAGTTTAAGAGGCTCTGCATATCAGTTAATCATCTGTAAATGTTCTTTGAACTAAAATTTTTTAAATGTTATGAAGTCACCTGAGAAAATCCAAATTTGTTATATGAAAGGTACTGGGAAGGCTTATTTAGTTTTACATTTGTAGCTCAATGCTTAGCTAAAGATTTTGTTATCAGTCAATTCCAATACACAGATCACTGGTTGTGTTATAGACATAAAAAGTAAAAATTACTGATGTACTGTTCCATGTTTTTCAGGTCTGCCATAAAGAAATGTTTAGAAGGAGATGATACATTTTGTAAAAGACTGGTTTTATGTGTCGCTACAGTTGTCAGGAATGGTGATGGACAGGTGAGCACATATTCCGAGCAATAAGTATGTTTTGATATTAAGAATTAAGGAAACAGAATCCAATATGTTGTGCTAAAAATATATAAACAAACATTTGAAATAACATAATTGACACAATATTATTAAATTTAATGTGAAAAAGGATTAAGAATTTCCTAATTAAAATGCATAAATAAGTAAGCAGTTTTAAGAATTGATTACCAAGTCAAATATTTTCTTAAATCTTAAATGTTCAGCTTAACTAGAATCCTAAAAAATCTGCATATGTTTCGGCTGAAATTTTTCCATGCTTTGTAATCGTTCTTAATTTTGACAGTTTACGGTTGAGCTGACAGATGGCTGGTACCCAATAAAGGCTCAGTTCGACCAAAGACTGACTGACTTGGTTGCAAGAAAGAAAATAGTTCCAGGTTACAAGTTGATGATTAGTGGAGCTGAGTTAGTGGGTTTAAAAGAAGCATGTAGCCCTCTAGAGGTATGCATAGGCAATGGGGCAATATATTTTTTTGTTTAAGTATTTTGTCCTCTTAGATATAATATTTTAAGGTACTATAACTTGTATTTATATCTTTTAACCTTTTAATTCTGTGTCCCATAGCAATGACATTTAACATATGGATTTGTTTAGCTAGATCCTTTCGTAACTCCAGGTAAATGATGACACAACTCTCAAGATCCATGGCAACTCTACACGTCCGGCAGTGTGTCATGCCAGACTTGGGTTCAGCTTTCCTCCCTCTGCCCTGTGTGTTCCTCTGTGCTCACTCAGTCCTGGGGGTGGCACAGTCGGGTGTGTAGATGTGGTGGTGGCCAGGAAATATCCAGTCATGGTAATCATAACACAAGGTTTATTTAAAAAAAAAAAGAAACAATATTTCATATAGTTTATGACTTACTCTCATAACTGTCTATTATACTATGCTAAAAAATATAATTCTCTGCAAAAAGTATCTTTTTTTAGAATAGTCAAGAAATTTATCATCCAAGCCTTTTTAAACATAATTTTTAAAAATAATATGCATCAGAGTAATGAATGCGCTCTTATTTTCCTTTGAATTCAACACATGTGAATATAACTTTTTGGATTGGAATTCATACCTGATATATAAACATTAACTGATTATTATGAAATAAATGTCTATACTGTCACTCTGTGGGCTAGATTTTTTTCCTTAAAGTTCACCACTGACAGGGAATTTTATGTTTTAAATGAACATGCAGTTATTGTTAAATGCTCAGTGTTCTGTAAAATTTTGTCCTTAATTATTCAAATTATTCAGGTTTGGAAATTTTCATTAGTCTATATTTCAAATGAATAAAAAACAAGATCTGACATGCAATCAACCATCTCAGATTTGTTGTTCAATGAAAATCACCACTAACTAGTTTGATGTTCTCAGATGTTTCTGGTCTATCTTGACTATTTGCAGTATATGGAAAAGCTGGCAGAAGGTAGATATATCTTCCTCAGCAGTGAAGAAGAGGAAAGGGCTAGGCAAAAACATGAGGAAAAGCGACAGTTACTGATGGAAAAAATATATTCTACACTTCAAAGTGAAGTGGATGTGAAAAGGAAGGGTATGTTTTGAATGAAGTCTTGTTTAAAAAAAAAATTACATTAATTTTAATTGTCTAAGGTAAGAACTTACATTAATTATGGGACAATTACTTGGTATACTAAAATAAATATATGAAAAATTAAACTGCACTGATAACTGTAATAGCTGATAGTAGCCAGTGGTGGCCATGGGAAAGGTGTTAAAATAAATTTTTACAAGCTAAATGACCTGTATATATTTGGATGTTGGGAAATAAGTGTTAAAACCCTGTAGGAAGGCATGGGAACAACATTCCTGTACTTTTGGCACAGTAGTGACATCATTCCCATTAGCAGTCCTGTAGGATTGTCCCTTGAGGTATGTGAGCTGTGAGGGGAAAATCTTCCACTGTGGTTGTTATCGGCATGGGGAAAAGGTTAACTTATTTTGTGTTTTATTATTCGTTTAATACTTGTGCATTTGCTAAGAAATAAGAAATACATATTTTAAAAATATTTTTTTTGAGGGGGTGCGGGGATCTTCGGCGAGTTCTCACCTTTTTTTGCCTAGGTCTTGACCCTTGTGGGAAATGAATGTATTTATTTATTTGTGGATATGTTTCTCTAAGCAAAAAAGTTAATGTTCAAATGTAAATTTTTTTTAGGGAAAAAGAATGGTCATAAAAAATTGAGTAAAAAAGAAATTGAGCAGTTATGGGATGGCCAAGAAATATCAGAGGCCTTGGAAAATGCTTTAAACCCAGAGGAACTTCAGGTCGGTAATTTTCACTATTTGAAAACCTCAAATGTTTTTGAATAGATAACTAATTGTTTATACATATTTTTGACACCCTTCACAAGTGTCTGAGGTATTATCATTTATTGTAGAAAAACCACCATTAGGTTTGATGTTAAAATATGTCCAAGGAATGTTTAATGGAAAAGGAGCCTTGGCCTATACATTCTTTATCAGGATGTAAAATTGTAAACTTATCAACATTTAAAAAAAATTTTAGGCTAATAATGTTGTGAAGTAATCTAAAATTAACATTCCCATTTTAATTTCTATGGGCATTATACATTCATAATTGCAAAAAGAATTAGCTCTCTTGTTTGTGTTTTTTTTATGCTTTAAACAAGAAACAAAAATATTTTTTATTTTAACTTGTCTTGTACATCCTTCAAAGCAGTGAATATTTTTTCTAGCTTCTGCTTAATTACTTTATCCATGTCTACAATCTCCAGCTGATTTTACAATGTTTTTCAATTCTCTTATGTCAAAGCTGACCTCTGTCTTCAAGATTTTATATGTTTGCAGCAATCCCTGAGCAGCAGCCAAATGCAGAGGCTTGTGGAGTATAAGCAAAATGAAGTGGATAAGATACAGCAGGAGATAAAGAAACAAATGCTTGATGCTATGTCTTCACAGTCTGGCTCTGTGAGTTGACTCTCGTGTTATTTCCTTGCAGCCGATTGTGTACACATTCACAGCTCCTAAATTAACATAGGTTCTTTGGTTGAATTGTCACATTTCTTGAATATATTTTCAGAGTAAATAGGCTAGTCATGTCTAAATTGTTCAACTAACCATAAATTGGCTGGGCATAGTTAGTAAAAATTGGTTGGTCATATGTAAATTATTTCAACTAAGCATAAATTGGCTTGGCATGTGTAAATTGTTTCAAGTAAGTAAAAATCGGCTGGTTATGTGTAAATTGTTTCAACAATAAATCGGATAGGCATGTGTAAAAGGCTCAACTAACCATAACAGGTATCATGTAGTTTTTTTGCAAGGTCATCTGTCCATGTAATGTGCTATGATTACCTGAGCACCTGTATACACAATATAGTAACTAACTAGCTTGATGTTCAAATACAAGTCTGTTCATTAATCCCTTCTCATTAACTATTTAATTTACCAAATTCAGGTCAAAAGAAATGTTACTCCAGTTATGAAACTCAAAGTCTGTGGTTGCTGTAAAACTGACATTGACAACAAAATAAGTGAGTGCATTTAAATTTATACTTATATGAATTTTGTTTGCTTTGTTTTTTTTGTACTGATAAAGGCATTTGCCGAAACGTTTACATTTGTATTCTGTATGATGATTATTAAAGCTGAACGTATTTCGTTTTATTTACACAAATTGTTTGTGCCTAATTAATCTACTTTAAAACTTTATCGCAGTCCAACACTCTTATAATTAAAGCATATTTCTTCCTTTGTTTCTCCTTACAATTATTGGCTTTTAGAACTGGTTGACCATTGGTATGGTATGGTATCTTAAAGTCTACGAGAGACGATGGATTTATCTTTTTAGATTGCAGATCTTGTTGTGGCTAGTGAGACCAATCCTCGAGTGGCAGTCTCTTTTTGCATGTCCCACACACAAATGTGGTGGAGCAGTGTTTTCTGGCCTTCCTCTTCGCTCTTTTTACAGCTGTTTCCACCCCATTTTGCTCCTCGGCACGTAGTGATCCTTCCTTTACGATGTCCCGCCATGTGGATTGATCCTCTGCCAGGTCCTCCCAGTTTGAGATGTCGATGTTAGCCGACTTTATGTCTCTTCTGCATATGTCTGTGTATCTGAGATGAGGCCGTCCAACCGACCTTTTCCCTGTCACCAGCTCGCTGTATAGCACGCCCTTGGGTATGCGACTAGGTTGCATTTGCTTGACGTGCCCAAGCCAGCGGAGGCGTCTTTGGATTAATATGGTTGGGACGCTGCACATGTTTGTTTGAGACAGGACATCCACGTTGGGGACTTGATGTCAAGGATGCGGCGCAGACATCTGAGGTGGAAGCCATTGAGCCTTCTTTCGTGCCTTGTGTATGTGGTCCAAGACTTGCATCCACAGAAGAGTGTGCTCAGTATGCAGGCATGGTATACATGCAGCTTAGTTCTTGCTCTGAGTTTAGCATTGGACCAGACTCTTTTCTTCAGTCTAACCATGACAGTTGCGACCTTCCCTATCCTACCACTTATCTCATCCTCCATTGAGAGGGTGTTTGAAATGTTCGATCCCAGATATGTAAAACTGTCAACAGAATCCAAGTGGCAGTCGTCAATGGAGATAATGGGGAGGGAGTCAGCGTCCTGTGCCATAATGTTGGTTTTCTTTAAGCTAATGGTCAGGCCAAACTCTTTGCAGGCATTTGGTTGATTTGGTTGAGCATTAAGGGTTAATTAATCATTGCGTGTTCATTCTGCTGTTAACTTCCACAATATCTTAAATCAATTCTTAAATGCTGAATTTCAAAGAAAAAAATACCTTTGAAATAAAGGAAAAGAATCACTTAAGTAAATTAACATTTTATTAACATTTACATTATTATGGTAGCCGGCTTAAATATCAGTCTGATTTTATTTGTGGATGGGACTATGTTAACACGGTCAATGGGATGAAATGACTAGTGTTGCAACATATAGTGGGAATATGGACAAAATACACTCTTGGAAGATTTATATTTTTTAGCACTAAAATTTATAATTAAAGGATTACCTTTACATTTATCACAGGTTGTATTGTTACAGTGTGGAAGCCTGGTCAAGAGTGGATGGCTTTAACTGAAGGTCTTCGTTACAAAATGTACAACTTATCTGCATCAGCGACCAGGTATGCACATCTGAGAACTAGCAAAAATCATTTCATCAACTTTCTTTGCGGATCCATTTGATTAACTGGCTAACTACCGTGTGCCACTGGGAGCAGCTCGGCGTTTCTTTCGTTATGGCCATGACCCTCTAGTAGCGCCAATGTTAGTATCGTAGTAAATGGAGTCAAATATTTATATTATTCCATTCCCGTTTCGCTTCGAGATTTTAATTTACCGACAAGATGTTTATATTCGAAACACATGCTATCAGCAGAATGTTTTAAAAAACGAAATGTTAATTAATTTTGATTTAATTTCCTAGCTATTTACAAAATTGTACAACATGTTTACCATGGCAACAAGTGACCAGGGTTACTAAAGGCATATAGGTGATTGGAAGTGTAAATATTGTTCAATTTCTGTGTTCTTTGGTGCATTTTTCTTATTATTGGATATACTTTTGGAAACCACCAAATAAAAGGCTTTAAATGATTTGGAAATTTAAAATTTATACGTAAGTTGGCACATCAATATATTTTTAATTGTTTTGCTGTTGAAAATACTAATTTAACAATTAACAATTTTCTAACAAAACTTAACTTTACAAATGTTTTAAGTTTATTTTATAGACAATTCAATTACCTACAAAATGATTTATTAATCATTAGAATATCTTGATAATTAAGAAAAATGCAGCTGAAATTGTACATACACATAAAATGTGAAAATGTGACCTAGATTTAATTCGGCCACAGCGGGTTTTTCAATCTGGTAATCAGTTAAAATGACATTTGACATTTTGGAGCTAATTTAAAAAAAAAAAAAGGCTTGACATTATAAAGTGCTATATTTGTTACTTTCACTGGATTAAATAGTCACACTGAATCAGTGCAAAATAGGAGTTTGCAAAGGCAAGCCACTCTGTGTTTTCAAACTTTGTACTTACTATATATGACTAGTTTCATGTTGTTTAATGTATGTTCATAATATGTTCCTTACATAGTATTATATTTTGTTGTTCCCAGGAGTCATAATGAGGCTGGCAAAGTTTCCCTGACAGCCACCAGACAGACACAATTTCAAGCCTGTAAAATTGATGACAATCTGCTAGATCTCTGCTATGAGTCAAGAGAGGTATCTTAATAATCAAATCCTTGTTTTTGTTTCGTAAAATCAGTTTTTTAACATAACTTAGAGCAGTGGTTCTCAACCTTTCAAATGCCACGACCCTTTAACACAGTGCCTCATGTTGTGGCGACCCCTAACCACAAAATATTTATCGTTAGCTGCTTCATAACTTTTGGGTATATGTGTTTTCCGATGGTCTTAGGCGACCTCTCTGAAAGGGTGATTCGACCCCCAGGTTGAGAACCGCTGACTTAGAGCTTCCTTAATTCAAACGTACAATATTACTTAAATTTCTTCAAAGGCTATCTCTTGGAAAACTTCTATAGAAGCATATGTTAAACAATTAATTTTTAAAGCTACATCTTCTTCACCTTACATTTATTTTCCTCTAATGCTTGATGCTTTTTAAAAAAAAAATTATGACACATACTAATTTTTTCTCATTAATACAAATAAAAAAAAGGCTTAAACATCCACTGAAGCTAAACATTTTTTCTCAGGTCTGGAGTGTATCTGAGCTTAAAACCAGGCAGCCATTTGCAGATGAGTTTGATTTTGTTGGTGTAGTCATTCGACTGGACATGGCTGCAAAGTGAGTGTTAAAGGATAACAAGATCCCTATGAGTACCAAAGCAATTTATTATTTCAAAAAATAAATCTTGTCTACCTCACATTAATATTTAAATATTTGGTTCATAATAAATGGGTGCATCTTTTTGTTCATCCTCAGTCTTGTGTTAGCTGCAGACCAGAGCAAGGATGTACTCACTATCAAAGTCTCATCTGTCTCACAGGTACACAAAACAGTTTATTTGAGTACCTATTTCATTGAAACTTGATATAACATGTTATATAAATGTTAGGGTACAGAAGACAATATTTAGTCTCTACCAAACCAAAAATTAAATGACAAAATTTTATATATAAAAATATTTGTGTAACACATAAGAAAGATTAAAAACTATAAACTCACTAGGTAGAGCCGCCAAACATTGGCGGCGTGAACTTCCCATCTAGTAAAGTTACTTGACAAAACATGAACTCAAGTAACGCACATTTAAGAATCCCAATATTTGCTACACCCCTTCCCCCATGATACATTTTTTATTTCACGCCCATGAACTTTATTAATATTCTCATGTCCCAACCACTTTTAAACCGAATATTTTTTACACAATACTTAAATTGAGACGATTTCATTTCTGAAAAGAAAATATTATGCACCAAACGCAATTGCGTTATTAAAAATATATATATATCATGTAGCGTAGTTATCGGGAATTATATTTTGCGCACTAGTGAACTCATTATTTAACCACACTCTGGCATATCTATATATAGCCTGCGTGGTGGTGTTTGACCTTTGCTGGCGAATTATATATATAGATGTGATGAGTTTTTAGTTTTTCTTTGTGTAAAAACATAAATATTTTTTTGTAGTTGCATATATTAGAATGCAATTAAAAATTAATAACTGAATCTTTTTTTAAAAATTTGGTTTCTGAGTTCTGTTAGATTCCCTAAACTGACTGGTTTAGCTTGTGACCAACTCATCTGTTTTCCAAGATACTAATGATGATCTCAATTTATTAGTTGAATGAACTTTCTTATTAGTAATAATAAAACCAAAAGAAGCAGCTTAATGGCAAAGTCACTCCATTTTAATAGTGGACAGTTACAATAGTAAAACTTTTTTTTTTTCTTCTCAACATCCTAAACACTTTTTTTTTCATTTAAGGTCAACAACCTCAGAGAAGGTCAATGTTTTGTGGCCAGCAACCTGAAATTGAGTAAGTCATCCCTTCCTAACAGGCAATCAGCGTTGATAGCTTATGCCAGGCCTGAGTTCACAAGCTTCTCCACATCAGGCATGTCCAGCAGATATTCACATATATTTTCTCTAGTGGAGAAAATGAGTAAGGTAATAGAGATGCTTGAACTTGTATAATGTTATTTTAATGGGGCTTTGGATAAGAATTCAATGAATGCCAACACATTGTACTTAAGTTGAACATTTTAGCAAAACTATTTGTTATTCTAAAAAAGTATTTGACAGTGGTGTGCTACAATAAGTGTTGTTATTCTTAAATCACAATTACTAATGTTGCTTATACTATAGATTCCAGACTTTGTCAAGACCATGCAGAAGGAATTATATGCGAGCACAGCTTCTTCATCAGCATATGTTAGGACAAGGGATGATGGCAAGACTGCAGGATTTCAAGTGAGTCCATTTCATTACTTCCTCAGATAATTATTTGTTCTTAAGTTTTTCTTCTGTTCTCTATCAAGTCTTGAAATTTAAATAATACTGATACTGATACTCAGGGAATATATAAATGTTTAAAGTAAAACTTGATGGATTTTATTTACTATTAAAATTATGACACTTTTAAGTTTTCCTAACCATGCAGTATCTTTTTAAGATTTGGAAATGTAAGAAGTCTTACACACTGTCCTTGTAAACTCTTGAACAAATCATTGCTACTGTTAATTCTTTTGAATCCACAAAGAGCAGAAACTTATTTCTATTGTTTCTATAAATTACATTAATGATTTGACCCCATTCTGTCCAATGATTTAATCTAAACATACAATTGTATATGAGCTCTTTCCTCTCTCTAAAAATACTCATAATCATCTTATCATAAAAAATAGAAATTTTAGTCACCTGATTATAAAGCTTTATGTTTACTGTGAATGTCACAGAAAATTTGTTCTGACCTTGAACTTTTGATTTATCTGTGATTGAATTTATTGAAGTTTCCCTGCTGGTTCAGTTTCTAGATCTTTTGTTATCTCTGTCTTTGGTGTATAGTTATTAACAGTTATCTGTTCTTTTATTTACTCTGGTTTTTAAAAAAACAGCGGATATGTGCGCTAGATAATTTATTTTACGTGGAAATTCAAGGATTAATTTTTTTCGTTTGCTGTGCTGTTTATTTAATGAATTAGAGTAAGGTCAGTACCGTATTGGAGTTGATTGGATTTCAGTTTGAGAACATTTTCTTTGGTTATTTCTGAAATTTTGGTTTTTTGACGGTTGTTTTACTGTTTATTTGGCTAGATTGTACTCACAAATCTTTCTTAACACAAAACATTTACGTTAAACAATAGACATTAAATTTGGTAAAATTGCCTTCTCTGCAGCTGAACACTGAAGATTTTCCAGCTGATGTCATTGAGAAACTGTTTAGCCCAATGAGCCAAGCCCCAAACAGATCATCAGAGAATGGGACGAAGGCTAGACTCAACAGAGAGGCTAAAAATGATGTGCATGGTAGGTCAGACCAACTCTCACCGTGTCAAAATGGAACAGACCTCATCCAATCGGAGATTCTGAAGAAGAAAAAATTGATTTTGCAAGAGAAAATGGCCAAACTTCTAGCCTATGATCGCCCTTCACCTCTGACCCCATTACCTATTGGAGGATCACCAGCCAGCATCAAAGACTTTAAACCTCTCATGCCAAAGTCCTTATAGAAAGTGTGTGATCCCATTCTAATCGCTGACGTATTATGGACCCTCTGAATAGATATGCTAGAAGCTCAAATATAAATATAAGTCTGTGCAAAAGACTTTGGCTCACTTCTTTACTAATCAATTTATGTCCCAAACAGCTAATTCAACATAAACAAACTTTCTATATTGAATCCACATATTCAGTATTAATTAAATGGAAAATGTCCTAAGAATTGAATGGACTCAACTTGTATGAATGAAACTAGCTAGCAATAGTATTTGTAAAAATAACTAACTTAATTCTCTATAAATGCCATGGTCTGGATTATTCTTTTTACTACAGCAATGATAAAGGAAAGTTGTAAACCTAAAAATATTCATTTGTGATGAAAAACTCTATATTTTGGGTTCACTGGAGTAAGAGTAAGAGCAGATAATTTGGGCCAATACCAAGTAAGTTTTATAAGAAAGTCTGTAAATGAAAAAAAATATTCTATAAATGTGGACAAATGGGCATCAAAAGCATGAATGCTGTCAATATAAATACATATCTTTGAGTTTTTGTGTCAGTTTTAGTCAACACCGTTAAAACTATAATTTTTGGGACAAACTTTGTAAAAAGTATAATATTTATAATAACAATTCTGATTGGTCTACTGTGTGTATTATAAACCAGTGGTAAACCAGTACTAAGATTTTAATGCTTATCAAGCAGATACTTCTCATGCTAGAAAAATTGGTATCACATGTTTTTTAATGATCATTGATTAACAAAATTCTGTTCACCACGAGACCAATAATTAAACATGTGATAAGAGAGCCTTTGTGTTTTTGCATTGGAACCTGGTTCTGTTTATCCCTACTGTTTTGAACATATACTTATGATTTATACAGCTGTGATTGCTGTAACTTTAATATTTGTTAAAAATGATTCATTCAATTAATTCAATGGCTTTGGACTATACAAGAAAATTGAGAGATTCATAGTTGCACCCAAGAAATGCTGATAATTCTTTTGTTTTGTTGAAGTAATAAAAGCATGAAATGGTGTGTATGAACATAATGTCCTTCTGTCAGGAGGTAGCACTGTATTATATTTAATGTCTACTAGATTTCAATGAGCTAATCAATACATTATTTGTCTTTCAGTTGAACTTTGTTGTTTAGTTTATTAGTGCTGCCATCAGACTTGTACCACCTAAGAGTTTGACAATCCATCAGAACTTTACAATCCCTGACTTGGGAATTCCACCAGACTTGTTCACCTATGCATTGGACATTCCATCAGACTTGTACTACCTATGACTTGGACATTCTATCAGACTTGTACTACCTACAACTTGGAAATTTCATCAGACTGCTACAATCTCTAACTTGAACATTCTACCAGACTTCTTTACCTATGACTTAGACATTCCATCAGACTGCTAAAATCTCTGACTTGGACATTCCTTCAGACTGCTACAATCTCTTACTTGGACATTCCACCAGTCATTTTTACCTATGACTTGGACATTCCATCAGACTTGTTTTTGCATTACCCCTGATTTGTACAACCCTTTGAACATTACATAATCATTTAGTGATCCCTTCATACCCTAGACCAGGAGGGGTCAGCAACCTTTTTGAGTGAGGAGCCATTTTTATGAATTGTATTTGTTTAGAAAACATTTTTGGAGCCGCATGTCATAACTAACAAGTAAATAGCAGAGCCGTCGATCCTTGAGCTGCGGGTTGCCAAAACTGGCCCTAGATGGAGCTGCTGTGCGTTGTCAACTGCTGCCCTAGACATTACCATTCAGGCAAAGTAACCTTCAGAAAACGTTTGTGCAAAAATAAAAATAGTAATTAAGTCAGGCATCATCTGGACACCATATTTATCTTTGAAGAGCATTTCTAAATACCGTATTGGCGTATAACACGCACTTTTTCTTCCTGAAAATAGGGGGCAAATGATGTGTGCGTGTGTGTTAACGTCGATATAATTTAAGTTTTTTTCCCCTGAAATTTCCTTCTTAAAATGAGGTGCGTGTTATAAGTTGTAAGCAGGTAAATACGGTAATTCTTTTGTAAGAACACATTAAAATGCCATATTTCAAATTTACTTTCAGCCTCTCACTAACTGTACTACCTTAATAAGTTTGTCTTCAGCTACTCTAGTTACTTCCTAGTTTGCACACATTTTAATATTTTAAGAAATAAACAGTTATTTTGTACATAAGACCATTAAAAAAAAATCGTTGGACACTTCCTGATTTATTGAGACACACAAACTGAAATCTGGACGATGTATTTTTGTAAATCGAAAGATCTTTTCTCTTGTTTATTTCTGTAACTGAAAGAACATATCATACTAGGGGAACATTATATTATTTGTTAAACATCAACACATTTATTTTTTAAAGTAGTCGTGGAGGAGAAACTCTTCAACAACGAATGTAACTAAACGGTCGATAGGTCTTCTTTCATAAACTTCTAACAACAGACACATTTGCGCCAACCAGGAACCCACACACTTTTGGGATATTCTGGCGATCCATATATAGCATTCCAACAATGGGGATTCATTCATAGCATTTAAACTAATTCAGAGGGGTAGTAAGGGCGTTGGGCACCCGGGAAGTAGATTCATTCTCTCTCTCTCCCCCCCCTCCCCCAACTCAATGCTAAAACATTTTTATCAATAAAATACTACCGAAACCCATATTGGCACCCTTTCTAGTCTTGCATTTTCATATATAGCAGTCCAACAATGGGGATTCATTCATAGCATTTAAACTAATTCAGAGGGGTAGTAAGGGCGTTGGGCACCCGGGAAGTAGATTCATTCTCTCTCTCTCCCCCCCCCCAACTCAATGCTAAAACATTTTTATCAATAAAATACTACCGAAACCCATATTGGCACCCTTTCTAGTCTTGCATTTGGGGACATGTCTCCTCTGCCTCCTCTTTGCTACGCCTCTGAACTAGTTCTTATTTGAATTTTAAAAGATGAGCTTCCAATCATTGATAACATGCAGTAGAAAACACATGCACATTTATCATGGGATGTTGGTATCCACAGCAGAAATAGTTAATAATCGTGGTGTGTTGTCACCGTTGTCAAGTATAGTGAGTTAAATAATGAAGCCATTTCCCCTGTATTTATGTCATTAAGATACGTATACCTACCCTCTGGTACTTTATTTCCTAGTGTTACATAAAGCATATGAATAACTGAAGTTTTGTGATATGAACTGGTTTAGAATATAAAATCCCACATATCCAGGTAAATAAAAATATATACGTCACCTTTTGTTCTTATTTTATTCCAAAGTTGACAGTGATAACATTATCTTCTCTTTCTAAGCAAGTCACACATACTACCGCCCATACATAACTTTGGAAGACAGGCCCAACTTTTGTAAACATGATCTGACCACCCAACAATTATTGGAATGTGTCTAACTAACCTATGTGTTTTTAAACATGATTCCGACCATTCCAACTAAAGTAAGTGAATACATTAATATTTTATTTTGGTTGATAAAGCTTTGAAATTTAAAGCCTTTAAAAAAATAATTTCTAAAATACAAAAATCCAGCAAAAAAAATCACATCTTTTGAGTAGCCAGACTAGTTCTCATAGTGCACTTGGTCACAGCACACACTACACGCCATCCGGGGAAACAAACACGTAGTCCATCAACACTCAATAGTATGGGAGATAACCAAGAGTCATCCTACTAACCACTAAATCCTCCTCTTGTGAACTACTCATCCGTCCTTGGTTGTTTATGAAAGTCTTGCTGTACATGCGTTTGCTCTTCAAGGGACATAATTCTTTTATTACTTGGGGGAGACGTCCTGATCCGCCTCTGGATCCAGCATCCTCACGGGCACAGGGATGTCGCTGACCCCTGATACAAAACTGCTGGCGTCGTCCTCGGAGTTCTGATAAGAGCTCCTTCTCCACGCCCTCATCAGCTCTGGCCGAATGTTACTTCCGAAAAACTCTGGGCCTGAACTGTGGGACCGGCCTCTCCTTCGAGCCTGGCACCTGTTGCAGCCAGGGATGTAGCGACCCCAGGTGGCAGCCCGGAGGTCCCTGTTAGTGACGGAGATCAGGTAGACCGAGAAGACGCTCTTGAGGTGGATGCAGTTGAGTATGGTGGAGCTGTTCTTGACGGCCGTGCTGGCGATAACGCTGAACGTGATGATGAGGATGTCCAGGAAGATGAGGAACATAAAGGTCTTCTTGTAGGAGCTGATTCTCTGCACAACCAAAATAAAATATATTAGAAAGATTAAAAGTTCCTAAAAGACAATACAAGCAGTGGCGTAGCCCTGGTTGTTGCCGTTCGGGGGCAGGGGGGGGGGGTTTCCAAGATTTTTGCTGCCCCCTTCCACTAAAAAAACCTCTGCAGTTGGCCGAAAATCCCGCCCCTCATTTTAAAGAAAACGGGCCGCCCATGACGGACAGCCCCTTTCTTCATTACTGAATACATGGAACAAACACCGACCTACGTTTATACTACCTGAGCACTATAACCACAGCGGTTGGCTTGGATATTCTTATTCTACCATTACCGGTAAATCCAAACACGTACGCTTGCATGCTCACGAATACAACCCCCCCCCCTCCCCCACGCCCACACAAAGCGAGATTAGTACACGAATCACTATTTTTCTATTACTGATTAAATGAAAATATAATGTGGATTTAAGACACGCGTACCATATACGCTTAGTGAGTACCAAATCAAATGAAAACGTGTGCACCAAATTATGTTTCACTTATCAATGGAACAAACACCAGCCTTCTCAAGAAAGGTTGGGGACACCCCCCCCCCCCATAGAACAGATTTGTGTCATATTGTTCTAGTATTTCCTTCAGCAAATCTGTAAAAAAAGTTGAACACCAGCAAATCCGTTGTAAAAAGGAACATTGGGGGTGAGGGGTAGGATGGTAGTTTCACTTATCAATGGAACAAACACCAGCCT